GCCTGTGCACGTTTTTGCCTGTAAGCCTCTAGAAAAGATGCCTTTCCTGGCAGCTGGCAGCTCTGCTTAGCCGTCGCCTTGCCAGGTTTTCGCCTGTTGCTAAGCAACGTCCAAACTCCCCCAAATTATCAGTCAGCAAAGGAGACCTGGCTTGTGTTGCGTGCCAGCTATCCCCCTCCTTCTCACAAGTGCGGGGTCTGAGCCAAGACTACCACGGATCTCTCTTTTATTTATTTATTTATTTATTTTTTGGCACAGGGAGGTTGTGGGCAGCCCACGCTATCAGCTGTGGCGGTTTATAGCCGTGATCACAGGTAGATCAAGCGGCAAAAAGGTTCCAATTCCGTGTTTCAGGGCACGCATCTCCATGCCTTTGCTTCCCTGCCACTGTCCAGAACACTAGAATCCTGCCAGGTAATCAGGTTTTTGGGTAAATTACTCTTTTTAAGCATCACTAGCCTCAGATATTATACAAAAAAAGTGTTAAATCAAATTTTTGGGAGTCCAAATTACATCATGACGACTCTCAGTAACAAATATATAAAGTAGAATAGAGTAAAATAACAGGTATTTTATATACAGATTTAGATAGATTTTTGGTGATTAACACTTGTGCGATTAAGTTATCAATAATGTCCAGTACGCAATCAGTAAATTAGTAAATCAGTAAAACCTTTTTTTCTTTCTAAAACTAAAGAAAATGCCATTCATCTTGTTTCATTTCAGTGGAGAGCGTACAAATATTCTTTGCACTGGATGCAGAATTCATTATCTATGTGTGTTTGTGTGGTCCAGTGGATGGGATTTTTATTTTTTTTCTGCTGGGTATTTGGCAGCTGTTTGCAGATGAAAGGGATTCAGGGGACTTGGCACTGCACTTGTGAGTGAATGCGGAGATACATGGTGTGTGTGTGTGCGTGTGTGTGTGTGTGTGTGCGCGCGTGTGTGTGTGTGTGTGTGTGTGCAACTCACCATAACATAGTGTCTTTGGATCTCGGTCTTCTCTGTTGCCAGTTTCTCACACTCCAATTTCAAACTGCAGCAGAGGAGAATGGGGGTAAAAAAAAAAAAAAATCAATAATTCAAGTATATATATCACAACGCAAATATAAACACAGAATGCAATTAGCGACATTAAAAAGAAATCTCTTGGCTGCCTCTCAGTCAGTCCCATCCATCACCTGTCTCATTACTTTCAGGATCTGACCTGAATCTGCTATCTGTCATGACATAAGCCAAACCCTTTTCCCTTATGTCCTAAATTTCCTTCTCCTGTGTCTAATTGTGTCTCTTCACACCCAAATCAGTCCCAATGTCCTTTAAGAAATCGGACGATGTCTGCGGCCTGATTTGCACACACTCACGAATAGTTTCTAAATGGATCTGGAACCTTGAGGGGTTCACTCTGACTTGTTTGCATGCAGGTAGAGGACCGACTGACTGAATGGGGAGAGTGGTGATGTGGGACAGGGGGAGGAGGGTGGAAGGATGCTTGTTTTGGTCGGAGGAAAATTAGAATATGATTAATAACTCCGCGCTAGCAACAGGTAATAACGACCCCGTCCACGCCGAGCCTCCGCGAGGCGCGCACGCTCGTAATTGACTCATTTATCACTGCCAGCCAGCCGAGGAGGAGGAGGAGGAAGAGGAGGGGAGAAGCAGGACGAACGGCGAGAGGGGAAGGTTGCGCTGGAAGGAGTGCAGTGAGGATTAAACCCCCAACACATTTCCCACGATTACCATGGAGCTGCCATTCCATCAGGACCGACTCGGCCTCGCACGGTTCGGCCCGGATCTACACGCCAACGGCCGTTATCCATTTCAAATTATGGGGGAGCAGAAAGTCAGGCCTCATTTAAACACATCAGAAGCATGAGACAACAATCAAGGATAAACGGCAGAACCTCAATGTTGGTTTTGGCTTTTGCGACGTTTCTGATCACAAAAATAATGAAGTCGGGCATCTTTAACCCTGTAATGCTAAATGTATCATATTTGATATATACGGTTTCTGAAATGTTTTGCGTCTGACACCTTTTGCATAATTTAATGGTAAAATCTTTGCTCAAAATCCTATTTTACAAAATCAGATACACCTGATAACAGGGGGCAGAAGACTACACAAAAAAATAATCTTGACTTATCGCATAGTAACAAATTATTAATATTGAAAAACTACTTTTGTTTTTTCTTTTTACACATTTTGTTAAAAGGCCAAATAAGGAATTCAAAAAAAAAAAAAAGGAATTTTCTATTTTGTTTTATTCTTGGATCAGGCTTTAAAGGGGTTAAAGATGGGAAGCATTCACATGAGGGAGCCGCCATCTGATCATGTGACAAGTGGCCCATCAGAGTCTGTTTTAGTAGGTGCTAAAGATGTGACTGCATAGTGGGGCCAGTCCCAAGTAGAAATGCAGTGACACTAGTGGAAAATCACCATTATGTTCCAGATCTGAAAATTCCATTTACACACAGGGACAACTTAGTATATCTGTAAGTT